TTGGTGTTATACTGCCTCTAGAACTAAAGATAGTACATCGTGGTGGCATTTGCAAAATATTAGTTATCTATAAAGTATATATTACGTATATTAAATATAAATTGGAAACCTATATAAAAAAAGTGTCGCAACCTTTTAGTGAGCGAGTGTACCACTGATATGGCTCGTAGAAGACTTGAAAATTTGTTATTGGCCGAAAACAAAAACTGAGCAAGCGTTTGAAAAACTTGTATTAGATAATATACCGTACGATTCAACGTGGTACAGATTTAAAGCCCACAGAATAATAAAAACTTCAGGTATGGATCTTGATATAAAATAAAAATTTATATTTTTTATTTCTGTTGTAACATATTTGTTATTACATATTTGTAATTTATTTTTTTTTTCTATTATATGTATACATATGTATTTTATTTTAATTTATTTTCATATTATTAAATAATCGGTATTGCAGTTTATATTCGTACAACTTTTCAACCAAAACAATTAATTTAAAATAATGTTATTACTTTCTTTAAATGATGTCGCAAAAATTCCATAGATTTTGAACAAAACATGTTTTTTTTATATTTTTGTTTGAACATTTGTTGTTTTTTAGGAAACATATTTATTGTAATAAATATAAAAACATCTTTATTTAATATTAATTTTAATTACTTTTACGAAATAAGTCAATTATATTAACATGTTAGTTTATTTAAATATGCTAAAAAATGTGTAAAAATGCTTCTTACGATGGAATTTTAACCAAATATGAACAGGATGTTTGGCACATATAACTAAAAGGTTAATCGAGGGCTTGTTACGTATATATATTTCTTGGATTTATAACTTGTAAATGTTGAAACAACATAATAATAAGAATTAATTATAAATTTCAGAAATATATATTTATAAAAAAAAACACCGCGTTAAACTTTTAGTTACATGTGTTAGAATGTCTTACATAAATTTCGTAATAATCCGATAAAAATGATATTGCCATGTGTGGAGCATTTTAAGCATATTTTGAATAAATTCAATATTTTAATTAATTCGTTCGGCATAAATGGTAGAAATTAAAAATGCCAGTATATCATAAAAATTTATAACTAAAAATATAAGCATTTGTTTTGTTCAAAATTCGAGCAGTTTACTCTTACAAATTTAAACATTAAAAATTATTTATATTTTTTAACATACGTAAAAGATTACGATGCCATTGTAAAATATATGGAAATCATCTTGGAGCATGGATCAACAGAAGATGACGGAGTGAGTATTTCGGAAGTATCTCTAAAAAAAAACTTGCAACAATGTGATGATGGGACCGACTCATCCGATGCTTCACAATCATCAGACTCGGAAGTACATGCTAAAACAGCTAAAAAGCCTCAAAAGAAGCATAAAAATACAAAAAGCATATCTGAGGATTCTGATTCTTCTCTCTTGGTATCAAAGAATAAACAAAAACAAAAACGATTTGATAAAGAGAAAACTAAAAATGTCAACGTGCAACCTAATAGTTAGTATACATGATAACATATATATATGGAAATGTATTTTAATATATTGAAATATATTTAGGTTTTAAACATTTTCTGATCATTCTGTACATGTATCATCTGATAATAGCATATAAAGTAGATAAGTATGTCATTATTTTTTCTAATCGAAACATCAAAGTAAAATAATGGATATAATATTTACAGAACCTTCGAAAACTTTTTACCCGGATAGAGTCGAAAACGGCAACTCGGTTTCTCTATCAGTAAATGAGAGAGAAACTGATTCAACGGAAATCCTATCAGAACAGTAATTCCAAAAATATGTCATAAAGCGATTCGAGGAAATAATGGTGATACTGGAACAGAGCAATGCTTCTAACGTTCGTCTTCTGAATTCTCTTCAGACGTACATGAATCCTACTTCCAAACCAGATGGATTTCCTGATTTGCCTTTGACAACCGATGATGAATTCCAAAATTTAGAACTAATGCTGTCAGAAAAAGTGACGGATAACTCTGGTCGAGAAACACCCGCACTTGCGTATACATACTTGGTATACAGGGTGTAACTTAAATAACGACCACTAATCATATAGCGTTATTCCTGATAAAAAATTGAGTCAAAAAGTCCTGAACCATTTTTTTCTACAATTCTTAATTATGCAGTTATTCTCAAGTTAAACTAATCCAATCTACGCCGTTTTTTAGACGGGCGGACATCAGTGAGCCGCGCGCGTAGTAGTGTGCGTGAGCGATCTGCCGCGCGTCACGCCGCTATGTTCACGCACATTACTACGTTCGCGGTTCACTGATATGCGCCCGTCTAAAGAACGGCGCTGATTGGATTAGTTTAACTAGGAGAATAACTGCATAATTAAGAATTGTAGGAAAAAAAGGCTTAAGACTTTTTGACTCAATTTTTTATCAGGAATAGCGCTATATACTTAGTGGTCGTCATTTAAGTTACACCCTGTATATGTTCAAAAATAATTTTTTATTACATTTTATGATAATAAAACTATTCATTCAAAAAACGTGCTTACAGAAAGGACGACTGTCAACAATTGGTGGAGCTGATCAGAGATCCTGCATAATGAATATATTAAAATTTGTAATGACGAACCAGCTATGTCCTATAATTGGAAAGGACTACATAATAAAAAAAGTTTTGAAGCAACAAAACTACGTGAAGTTATTACGGGTACGTAAACAACAGTTAAATATAATATTCCGTTTTTTATATAATTTCCATAATTCACATCCGTGATTAGATTAAAATATGTCTTCACAGCTTAATTACCGTTTTACAACATTTATAAAATATTTATAAAATGTATAAATATGTGTAAATAAATATATTTTCAAAGATTGAAAATTTTTGAAATACATGTGTTAGCGCGGCAAAAAATGAATAGTTTTAAAAGCTTAGTTTTTTTTGCTATACTTTTCGTATAATGTATAAAACAGTAATACAAAAGATCAGTAGAGCTTGCGACCGCACTCACGAGCGTGGTGCAACTTCGTCGCTCGTCCGACCCGCGTAATTCCGCGAAAACGAAAAAAGGAAATCTAAGGCGCGATTAACCGTAACTCAGGCATCTCGCCTATCGAAAACGGGAATAAAGTTGGGCGCCAGGCACGTTATAGAGAGTGCCCCTCTACTGAAAAATCTCGGTGTTCGGAAATCTAAGGACTCGAGAAGATTAATCACGCGATCAGGTGCGAATTCGATACAGCGGTCGGACAAGGACGGCGATAACCGGTTGCTCAGTTACGATAATGGTAAAGGGGGTGATTCGAGGGGAAGCGGTCAAGGTTCGGGGAGCGAGAATAGGCTGAAAGAATCGACAGTAATTAGTAACAATAAGAAATAACAAGTGTATGAAGCAGACGAATATTACATTCTAGAATACAAACGGAAATACGATAATCGACGGGAATACATGAGACGCGCAGCAATGCAGCGTACTCGACGTGACAGAGACTCGCAATTCGTGCTTCTCACGATCGTACGACAAGATCGTGTCTCGGAAAAACG